CATGCTGAGAAAACCTACATTCTTTTAACAAATTTTTAATACTTGGGAAACTTAGATTACTGAAAATAAATAGAGTTCTGAGATGTATCTTGGAGGTATGTCATATGTACATAAGAATGAGTATTCCATGGTTCAAGTTATTTTAGTGGTTACCTTTCGCAGGCCCTCATCCTTGTCAGCAATTGTTGATGGTCTTCCCCTTCCACCAGACACTTCAACCGGAGTGATTTGCCAAGCAAAGGAACCACTTTCTTGAGCAGCAATTCCGTGTTCAAAACTCTGAACTGCAAAATTATCCTGTACGAAAAACGCAGATATCAGCAATAATATATAACGATTGTGCCAAAACCTATCTGAACAGAAATCAGTAATAAAATACCTGGTCTTCTCTAGTTATTGAATGGTTATCCGCACAGAGTTCAGTGCACACTCCCATACCAACATCCTTATAGACATCCCACAAACCATCCTTCAATATCCCATCAACTAGTGAGTCGTGTTCAAGGCGGGATCCTTTTCTGAAATGTTAGCATTTAATCAGTTTATTTCAACAAAATAACTAATCTTAAGAAAACTATCAAGTATGCGTCAATATCAATATTGACCTTGCTTCTGCCAAGTACTTAGGTACACTAGACATGTTTTCCATACCACCAGCCACAACAACATCATTTATGCCCAGTTGAATACTCTGTGCAGCAAGCATTGTAGCTGCAGTTAACCAAGAAAGGTTTATTAACCTTGTTCATTCATTGAAATAATAAAACTAAAAGATACCAAGAAAATAATCCTTGTTTATAGTACATTACACACCTTTCATTCCTGATGCACAAACTTTGTTAATAGTAGTGCAGACTACAGATTTGGATAGTCCAGCTCCAAGAGAAGCTCCAAGAGACTATCTATAATAGACAATACATCTTATTGAACTTCAACTCAAATCTAGATTTTTGTTTTTTATATAGCTAATACTTAATATCATGTTTATAACTTAGAACAAAAGTACTCATCAGCACAACAACAAGGACAAAACACTTATCCACCACCAAATAATGCAAAATGCAAGTTAACTAGTACCATTAAAATGAAATGTGAACACTTCTCTAGAATTCCACCAATGAACCTCAAACCACTGTTTCAAAATTCCCAAGTGCACTTCATCTCCACTTTTCTTTCCAGATAGAACATCTCATGTTGTTTCATTACATATAAACATGAAAAACTTGAAAGTAATATATTATATTCTATATCACAAATATAAAAGAATCTATTAACAGCAAATCCGGTACAATTTCCAATACAATCTCCGATATTATTTATCCTATGGCGGTTGTAAAGTGTTCTGCACCGCTAAAGCTTTTCCCATTGCGACGGCCTCTGTTCTGCTTCACTATAGTTGGATAGCACGGATATTGACAGCTATTGACTACTTTGTATTTCACCGGTACTAATTCAATTTCAATGACTCTTTTGACTCATAAAAACTAGTAGTTCAAGCAAGATACTAAATATAACAGTCGTGGACGTTTGAACTATTTACATAGTTATCCACAAGGGAACAACCAAGAAACAACACCACACAAATCCACTTTCCTCTACAACCTAAACCCCACATTTTAAGGGCAATAGCAATTTGAAAACAGGACAATACAGGAGTCAAGTTGAAACCCAGATGAGTCAATTATCCCTCTTCACCCCATCACAAAAGGTTTCTTCATATTTTCAAACACCCTCGTTGGACATTCTACGATTTACAAGTATTTAAGCTCAAATATTTTTCTAACAACAATTGATATAAACCTAGGAATTGAGAAGGGAAAAATAATAACATGATGAGAAATGAATTATTTACCTTGTGATAGAGGGCTTTCTAGGAATTATCATCATTAGCAGCCTTCTGCATCAAAGAATTAGTCATCGAAAGACGAAACAAACTCGGATAATACAAATAACTAAGCGTGTGCGTCGTAATCTCAGGAACAAGCTACTCCATCATAGAACAACCACTTCGAGGACCCGCTAACACAATTGACGCATGAGAAGGACTGGTCTCCATCATTTTCGCAACACTTCTGTTCAAGTAAGGCACAAAATCTTGAGAATCAGAGGAGACGCGGTTGCAGTGGTTGAACGGCGGCATGAATCTGGTGAGTGAAAACCAAACGAAAATGGGCGGTTGAGCCTGGGCAGCTGCCCTACCTGGATGGGCACTGGCTCCGCCACTAGAAGAGATGAAAACAAAGAGATGATCTCTCAAGGACCATACAAAATCGATTTTGTTTGATTTTAGGGGTTTTTTTCTTCTGAAAATCTATTTGGTTTAATTTTAGGGTTCTTCATTCTGAACATTTGGCATAATAGAGAGAAAGGGGATAAAGGAATTAAGAGGGAAACAGGAAAAATAAGAGTGGGAAAATGAATTTTGAGATATTATTGGAGACAAATCAATAATAAATAAAATTTACGAATAAAAATTTCAATTGAATTTGATAGCTGAGTTGGTTGAAGTATTGTTTAGCATTTAGGCTGTCCTGGGTTCAAAACCGTCTTCAGGCATTTTTTTTAATCAGCAAAGTTAACATATGTTGTAATGTAATCTGTCACTTTAGATTTAATATATTATATAGTCTTCAGGCATTTTTTTTAATCAGCAAAGTTAACATATGTTGTAATGTAATCTGTCACTTTAGATTTAATATATTATATAAATGTTGTTTGTATTGCGTTTCAAATATAATGAGGAGGTCTACATGACACTTCCCCCTAGCTTATCTGTAGAAATCTCTTTATGGCCTAAAACAGGATAGTAGGCAATGGTATTCCAAGTTATCCTCCTTCCTTCTTTCACTTGGTTTTACACAATCTCAGGTTGATCATTCTCTATATGTTAAAAAGGTTCAACATGATTTTAGAATCAAAGACCTTGGTCCATTGCGTTTCTTCTTAGGCTTTGAGATAACTAGACCTTCAACTGGCATTTTTCTCAAGCAAAGGAAGTACACACTTGAAGTTTTGGAGGATGCTGACCCCCTTGCTGCAAAACCATCTACAGTTTCTCTTAATCCTTCTACAAAACTTTATGTTGATGAAGGTACCATTTTGGATGATTCTTCTTCCTATAGAAGGCTGATTGGTAGGTTGATTTACCTCACCAACTTAAGGCCAGATATTTCTTTTGCAGTGCAGCACTTGAGTCAATATGTGTCCAAGCCTCATGTGCCTTATTTTCAAGCCGTCACTCAAATTCTTAGGTATTTGAAGTTTGTTCTAGCTAAAGGCATATTGTTTTCCTTTTCTAGCAGATTACAACTATTTAACTTTGCTGACTCGGATTGGGCAAAGTGCCCTGTTACCAGAAAATATGTCACTGGTTATTGTGTAATGTTAGGATCATCTCTTTTATGCTGGAAATCCAAAAAGTAACACACTGTTTCAAGGTCTTCCACTGAGGCAGAGTATCGTGTTTTTCCTTCTATTACTTATGAACTCCAATGGTTAAATTTCTTATTCCATGATATTCTTGTTCACTTTGACCAACCTGCATCTGTGTTTTGTGAAAGCAAGTCTGCTATCTACTTGACTCACAATCTTGCCTTTCGTGAGCGTAGTAAACACATCGAATTAGATTGACGTATAGTTCGTGAGAAGATCAATTCCAAGCTCATACGTTTACTTCCTATTTCTACCCATGACCAGCTGACCGACATCTTTACCAAACCTTTACATTCTCCTTCATTGAAGAACAATTTAGACAAGTTGGGAGTTTGTATCATTCACTGCCCAACTTGAGGGGGGATATTAGCATACATATAGTATTATATCTCTTTTTATGTTTATTATTTTTAGCTTGTAGATGATTGATACATGTCATGCTTAGTTTATTCCTAGTCACACATCTTGTACAAATAATGTATATATTCTTCCCATTTGAATAATGTAAATATCAGAACAGTTTACAATAACAATTCTAACTGTTTTCTAACAAACTTTTCTCTTCTTCTTTTATAGATTTTGTTTCCATCTTCATCATCAAATCTTCTGGTTATCTTAATATTGAGATTTTTTAATTTTGGACAAGGTTATCCCGATAAAAGTACGTATTATCTACTTTTCTATTTGTTTCTACAAAGCAAACTTCTTGTAATTAACAAAACTACAAACCTGTAAGTCTAGGATAGAATTCATAATCATGAATCCCCTTTTTATAATTTTTTATAAAAAATCAATCATAATCATTCATAAACCAAAATATGATCACTACTTTAGCTAAACATTGTGGTAAGATAATTTAATAATCCAAACAATCCTGTATGAAATAATCACTTTTCACTATAATAGAAATTGTGCGCTTGCCGCCATCAAGTTTTTATCACTTACAATTTTGGTTGGAAACATCATCCTAAAAGATTAATGATTTTGTAAGGTGATCTTTCACCTCCATACTATGTTTCCATACAACCATACTTCTTAAACCCTTTTTTAACAACCAATTCACTTTCACTTACAATCCATGACCTCGAAATAGTCAAGTTTTTAGCACTTACAATATAAGCACTTAAAGAAAATAGCTTAAATAAAATAGAATAAAATGAATTTCATTTTTTTCATTCCACTTCAATCACCATTAATAAATCCTAACAATAAAACCTAATTATTTCACTATTTTATTCCATTAACTTCCACAAATTTATACATAACCTAGTTCCTAACGTCAAAATTTCCCCAAAATTTCATACCTTATAAGATAAAATGGTGGGTCAAGAGAGATAATATATAACAAATGGAAAAAAAAAACAGCATAATCACCCAAAATACTACAACTATCATTTCACAAGCATACAAAAGTACCAACTGGAAAACGTTATCACATTATTCACTCACTTCCACTCAACTAGATTTCTAATCTACACCTTTCAATTTATTTTATCTTTAAAGAAGGTTCACTCATTCAACCTCTCAACCAAAACACATTGCAACATTTTTTTTTGCAAACCCTAATCATGGCTTCCAACAACAAATTATCAGCCACCATTTTAGTACTTTCTCTCCTTGCCTCCACAACATTCACTGAGGCTAATGGTTCATGTCCTCCATCGCCACAGCCAACGCCACCGCCTTCATCCCAAGATCATTGCCCCAATGACACCTTAAAGCTAGGGGTGTGTGCTGATGTTTTAGGGTTGGTTAATGTTATTGTTGGAGATCCTCCTTCTGGTAGTAGTTGTTGTGCTTTACTCAAAGATTTGGTCGATTTAGAGGCCGCAGCGTGTCTTTGCACCGCAATTAAGGCGAATGTGCTTGGAATAAACTTGAATGTACCTATCACACTCACTTGGATACTTAGTGCATGTCAAAAAACAGTTCCTTCTGGTTACCAATGTGTTTAAGGATTCAAATCATGTTGTGTATATAGAGATTGTTAATGCTACGTACAAACACTTTCTCAATAACGTTTGTTTTATTATTGGTTGAAATTCATGGAGGATATTTACAATTTACCATAGAAACATGACTCGTGTGAATTTGTAAAACTCCCACAAATTTCAACCAATAATAAAAAGAAATGGAAAGAAAGTGTAAGAGTATGTTGTTAATCTTTTCTTTTTCGGTTTTTTTTTACTATGTGTGATGATGTGTTAAACATCTATTTGTGTGGATTTTTTTTATCGTGTTTCGTCAAATTAATAATTAGGCAAGCTATGGTTGCCTAAATTAGTATATCTTTGTATGTGTTTTTTATTGTGTTTCTTCAAATTAATAATTAACTAGCTTTGGTTACATAAATTAGTATCTTTTTATTTATTGTTTTCAATACATTTGTATTTTTTTTTTATTGTTTCATCAAATTAATTATTTTTTAAAATGTTTACAAGTAAATATATGATTTACTTATATTTGGATGACAAGCAGACAACTGCTAACTTCATCTGCATGGAAAAATAAATCTTTTTAAGAATTACTTTTAAAGATCTAGGTGGCACAATATTGATATGCTTAAAATTTTGAATTTTTATAAAAGATTCATTGCATCAACTAGTAGAAAGTCTAAATAGTCAAGTGCAAATGATATAAAAATATGTCGATTATTTGAACAAATTTTTTATGTTTAACTATTTTGCTTGAAGCGACTTTTACGACCTCATGCCCAATGGTAAAACCTTCAGTACAAAATCTCATAAGTGAGAAAACCACAGTCAAGTCTATACATATATGTTTTCCTTCTACCTACATGTACACTAAAAGATCTGATGGCCTAAGTGTAGATCTTTCCTTAAGTGGATTAAGTGTAGATCTTTCCTTAAGTGGATTGGTAAAAAAGTTCACAGAAGTCTCTTTCTTTACAAATACTCATGTCCACCTAAATATTTTTAAAATGAAATCTCTAACAAGTCATGCCAATAATTAAAGTCTGACAGCCCTTTATAATGAAATGTGTGCTTCCAAAGATATCCGAACACGCCTTCCAGAAAATAGGAAAAACATCGTCAATAGAAAATAATGGAATCATAAGGCGATACCTAAGGATAGTGTTGTATTTTACTGGTGACATATGCTGACCTAACCCATCAATAGAGGATATTATTGAGCATGCGTTTCTTTCAAACACTAAAAAAGTCCTTTATGTATTGCGCTCATTTGAAACTTAACTTCTATGTCCTAAATAGTTTTATTATTCCTCAAAACAAGTGTCACTTTAGGAGGGATGATGTTCTTTATAGTAAAATTGCTAAGGTCAAATGTAGGAATCATACAACTAAGGTCATCCACATTTCTATCAAAATCAAAGTCCACACCTGTTTACTGTTATTTTTGGTAAACAATCATGAGTTTGAAAGTGTGAGATTAACTCGAAAAATCTCCAAAGTAATTTGTGCAAATAAATTGTGTGAACACACGTGGGTGTGAATTGAATGCAGTCGCCGCATGAACGATAACATCGTAGAAAAAATTTAAAATGAAATCGGGTTGTGATGAATGATAAGGTAAAAGTGCAATAAATGACATTAAACAAAGCAAAGGTAAAGGTACATGTTCTGTTTAAGGAAGAAAAAAAACTAATGTAAAAGACTAGACGCAGACGCATACATGTTTCTCGCTCAATTATTTCTCTCTTTGACTTGGGTACTCTAGTGGTATGGAAAATATGTATGAAATTTTGTGACCCTTGATCACATATATGGGTCAGCTATTTATTTTATTTACAAAGTAATTGTCGATAATGGTTATGACCATTAAGCGACTCCTATATTTACTCCACATTTAATCTTCAAGCTCCCACTAGTGTACTTACTTGCCATCCAAGACAATCTCTATTCAAAACCTACATTGAGTTGTAACTGCTTCCCACTTTTTCACGAATCCTAGATGGTAACTTCTCCAACGTGTTGTCGACGCTGCCTATCAAGGACTCAAGACTTGCAAATTTACTAAGTCTTTTATTTCACGTGTCGAGTCAACCACCACGTGGCCGATCTTTTCTGGGACAAAAACTGACAAGAAACCCTTAACAAAAGGTTAAGAAGAAATACAACAATTTGATTTCTCATACAAAAGATAATGATACCCCCATAACAAAAGGTTAAGAAGAAATACAACAATTTCTCATACAAAAGGTAAGGAGAACTCCTTAATAAAAGGTAAGGAGAACTCCTTAACAGAAGGTTAAAAAGAAACATAACAATTTCTCATACAAAAGGTAATGAGAAATCCTTAACAAAAGTTTAAGAAGAAACATAATGATTTCTCATACAAAAGATAATGAGGACTCCTTAACAAAAGGTTAAGAAGAAACATAACAATTTCTCATATAAAAGGTAATGAGAACTCCTTAACAAAAGGTTAAGAAGAAACATAATAATTTCTCATACAAAAGATAATGAGGACTCCTTAACAAAAGGTTAAGAAGAAATATAACAATTTCTCATACAAAAGATAATGAGAACTCCTTAACAAAAGGTTAAGAAGAAACATAAAAAATTCACATACAAAAGATAATGAGAACTCCTTAACATAAGGTTAAGAATGAACAATAAAAATTTAATTTCTCATACAAAAGGTAATGAGAACTCCTTACAAAATATTAAGAAGCAACATAACAATTTCTCATGCAAAAGGTAATGAGAACTCCTTACTAAAGTTTTAGAAGAAACATAATAATTTCTCACCCAAAAGGTAATGAGAGCTCCTTAACAAAAGGTTAAGAAGAATTGAATTGATTTTCTCCTGCAAAGGGCAAGGAGAATCCTTAGGAAAAGGCTAGGAAGTTTATTTAATGGCATGTGAATAGCTAAATGCAATCCCTTACGCAAAAGGAAATAAAGGACCCTCCTCTCGTAAAAGGCGGAAAGGATAGTAACGAAAGGTAAGCAGGAAAAAGTAGGATTCCTTGTGCAAAAGGCCAAGGGAACTTACAAAAGGAAAGGGTGAAATAAAAAGGTGTCCTTTGCAAAAGGCATAAGGTAATTACAAAAAGTAATTTGAATCCCATGAAAAAGACAGGGGGAACTGTAGCGGGGAAAATTCAGATTAATCTATTGATTAACTTAACTCATAAATCAAGAGTCACCACCGCACTTTTATTTTTCCAAAGGAATGGGAAAAAGAATGAACAAAACCCACATAAATTTAAAAACAAAACTAATAAAACAGAGAGACAAAGGGTAAGGGGATTGGTTATGCAATGGGAATGTGGTAGCACCTAAAACATCTATAGTACTCTATAGGAAACTCTTGAAAATCTATATTTGGCTTAAAAGGTGTTGTTTGCAAAAGATCGAGGATATGAGAAAAGAAATATTTTTTAGGGTTTTTGATATTTGACAAGACTTCCTGAGCCTCGTGCCTACGTATCCACAAAGTGCAATGGAGGATCAAAACCTCATAGTTCGTGGTAAAAATAACTAAAGAGATTTGTTGTGATTGATTTTAAATAGAAAGACAACTTGTCATTTTAAGGAGAAAACTCAACTAATCACCCACAAGTATATGAAAATGGACCTTTGCATCACTATTAAGGACTCCAACTTTGATACAGGTCAACAAGTATGCCAATAACTCTCTCAAGTGGAAAAGAATCAACATAAAACAATACTATGGGGATAGTAGAATTATGTTTCAACTATTAAAATGACTCATGTCTAATCCTTGAGAAAAGGTTTTAAAAGAAAAAGTGCACAAAGGGCACAAAATAATTTGAATGAGTTGTGTATTTTTTAAGTATTTTGAAATGATCTTGATATGCTTAAGATGAATTAGAATTTATTCAAGAAAAAGAGTTTGAAAATCACTTGACAAAGTCAAGGTTTATTAAGAAAGTGGTTCAAGTTTGAAAACAAGAAGGTTTTGAAAAGTGGAGATGATTTTGAAATTTTAAGAAGGGGGAAGAGATGGAGAGCCTACCCTAATGCATAAAGTAAAAGCAAGGAAAGGAAAGATCTAATCAAAATAGTGAGTTTTTGATATAAGTCAATCAAACACTCTCATCCTTTAGATTAAGCAACAAGCAAAAACCAAGTATCAGATAAAGAAGAACTTAAGCCAAGTTCAAAACCAAAGTATCAGATCCAAGTCTTCAAGAAGTCAACCCAAGGTCAAAGGTACCAGATGAATTCCAAGGTCTCAAATCACAACTCCAAAGCAAAGGATCGAGAACCTAAATCTAAGTCCATAAGTCCAACATCCAAGCATGGGATAGTAACCAATCACTATGCAAGAATTGACTTTTAGCAGCGCATGCAAAGACACCACTTTTAGAAAAAGCGCTACTAAAGAGTAATTAAAAAAAAAGAAAAAAAATAGCATACCTAAGACAACGTTTTTTTAAAAGCGCTGCTAAAAGTGGACCCTAAGAAAGCACTTTATTTAAAGCGCTGCTATATGTATGGCCTAAGACAACGCTTTTGTAAAGCGCTGCTATAGGGGTGCCCTAAGAATGCACTTTTCTAAAGCGCTGCTGTAGGTGGTTGCAAAGAAAGTGCTTTCTTCAAAAGCGCGGCTATATGTTGTTGCAAAGAAAGCGCTTTCACAAAGCGCTGCTGTAGGTCATTAAAAAGCACTACCATAGGTGTTATTAGAATTAATTTAAAATATCCACCAGAACAGAACAGTACATCGCGCGTACGTATATCCTTCTTTCTCCTATCTACCGAATGCGAACCCTATTCACCACGACCGTCCCTCCTCCGTCCGACAGTCGCGCTTCCGTCGCCCTCCTTCGTTCAGTCTGTATTGCATTTCTCCGACATTTGACCGTTCGTTTTCGACAGCATCCTCTGTAGCGCATTTCCGCCATTGTTACGGTATTTGAAGTTTTTCATTTTGCATTTTTCTGGATTATTGTCTTAGTATTTCATTTTTCTGGATTATATGATGTTAGTGTTACTTCTTT